GGCTGCGGTGGCCGGGAGTGGCTACTGCACTCCAGTCTGAGTGACAGAGTGAGACTCCAACTCAAAAAAAAAAAGTGTTAAATAGAGGACCCTAGCTAGCATCCAGGGTTCCCAGAAGCCTTCTTCAGGGAAGGGACGTTTGTGCTGAAGCGAAAGGATTACACCTCACATTTGTTCTACATTTCAAAAGAATCAGCAAATTCTTTTGGTTTGAAATATATTCAGTGTCTGACCTTCCTCATCACCTCCACTGCCATTGCTCTCCTAGACTTGCAGAGGCCTCCTCTCTGGTCTCCTGCTTCTAGCCTCACCCCTGTTGTCTCTTCTTCACACAGCAGACCAGAAAAATATGCTTGAGATAATGTTCTCTTTCTTAAAATACTTTAAGGGCAAACTGCTGCCCTCAAGGTAAAGTCCAAATTCTTCATCCCAGCCTTGAAGGTTCCACGTGATCTGGCTCCATATCACTTTTGTGACCTCATCAGCCAATCCTCACCCTCATTCACTTCACCCTCACTAGTCTGCTTGCTGTTCTTCCAACATGCCGGGAGCCCTCTCACCCCTTGCTTATGCCTTAACCTATCCCTTTTCCAGAGATTCCTTTCTACCTTTTCTCCCAGATAACTTTCACATTCCAATGTGACTTTCTCAGAAAGGCCTTTGCCTGGTCACTACTGTACCCCAACACCTGATCTTAGATATTTTCCTAGCCCATGACATTGTTTGTTAATTTTTTTACTATACTTATGTGTTTGCCAGTTTAATCTGTCTCCCCTATTCCAACCTAAGACTAACGCATGTTTGCAAAAGACTTCATTTATGGAATACATATTTACCCTCTATTGAGGAACTAGGTATACAACAGAAAACAAAACAAAAACCTCTGTCTTCAGGGAGAAGGGGAAAGACAGACAGTAAACAAACAAACCAAAAGTAAAGATGTGGTGTGCTAGAAAGAGCTGTGCTATGGAGAAGCACTAAAGGGAGAGGATAGTAGTAGAAAGTGAAGTAGAGGGGAGTCTAACAGAGGCAAGGGAGTAAGCCATGGAGATAGCTGGGAGAAGAGTGTTCTAGACTGGGAAGAGTGCTTGGTTGATTGAGGACCAGGGAGGAGACCAATAGAAGCAAAGCGAGGGAGGGAGAGACTGGTAGGAGAGGGAGTCAGAAGTGATGGGGGACAAGTGTTTAGGGCCTTCTGGGCAGGGGTAGACTTTGACCTCAGAGGGACATGATCTGATTAGGGTTTTAACCAATGTCTGGCTGCTGTATGCAGAAAGGACTGTTGGGGGAGTGAGGGCAGAAGCAGGGAGGCCCAGGAGGAGATGACAGGACAACCCAGGCGGAAGGTTATGACAGTAGCAGTGGTGGTGGTGAGAAGAGGGTCAAGCTCTAGGGCTGACACCACAGTTTTGTGAACAGCTGTGGACGGGTGGATGGGGAGGTGTAGTGAAAGCAGATGTGGTGCTTCCCAGTGTCCCTGTGTATGTGTGCGTGTGCACGTGTGTGTGTGCGCGCGTGCGCGTGTGTGCGACACTGCATCTCCATCTCCCAGCTTCCCTGAAGGCCCTGAGCGGCTCCATGCCATCAAGGAGCAGCTGATCCAGGAGGGCCTCTTGGATCGCTGTGTGTCCTTTCAGGTAAGTCCCATGGCCAACACTCTGGGTGAAGGGCAAGGAGCTGGTGTGACCTGGGCATAGCTTGTACCTTAGCTCTTTATTCCTCATGTCTCCCCAGGCCCGGTTTGCCGAAAAGGAGGAGCTGATGTTGGTTCATAGGTAAAGGTTTCGGAGCCTTGTAGGGATGGGAAGGAGCCTCTCCTGGTTGGCCCAGGACAGGCTGAATGCTTTGGGAAGGAATGTCATGGACTCTATGGCCAACCTTGGGCAAGTCATTGAGCCTCTCTGAATCTGTGTCATCACCTGTAACATGGGAGCTAGTAAACATAAGTTCCTCAGGAGGGTTCAGTGTGTGTCAGGTGCTTAGAATGGGGCCTAACGTTTCATCACCCGTGATGAACTGTTGTTATAATGTGGTTATATGAACAGATGGTGGATGTGTGGACAGAGTGATCAGGGGGTTCTCTCAGGGGGCTGCAGGAACCCAGCGTAAGAGACCTGATGTAGTGTGGCTCAAGGAAAGCTAGCTTAGCAGAACGGGTTTCTGAGCTGAGCTTCAAGAGGAAAAAGAGAATGAGTCAGATGAGGAGGTTGTGGGAAGGGAAGATCAGACAGCTGGAACAGTCTAGCCAAAGGCCTGGTAGTAGGATTTGGTATGGCTAGAGAAGAGGAGCAAAGAATATTACTGGAATTGAGGTGGACTAGGGAAGAAACAGAATGTATCCTATGTCGCAGCCATTCCCCCAAGTTAACAGTTGGGGAGGCCTGATTTGACCAGGGTTCCAGCATGTGGATAGCTCAGCTGGGGAAGGGATAGGGCCCTGACTCAGGGCTGGGGAGGAGTCAAGACCCTGAATCTCGTCCCCCATCTGTGTCTAGCCTAGAATACATTGATCTGATGGAGACGACGCAGTACATGAATGAGGGGGAACTCCACAACCTTGCAGACACCTATGACTCAGTTTATCTGCATCCGGTATGGATGAGAACCGTGGGGGCAGGGAGTGGTGGCAATCCTTGAGTCCCCCATGTCCAGCTCACCCTGGGGGAAGCAGCTGAGTGATAAGGCTGCTCTCTCCCTCACTCCCTCTGTGACTTCCCACTGTCTCTCCAGAACTCATATACCTGTGCCTGCCTGGCCTCAGGCTCTGTTCTCAGACTGGTGGATGCGGTCCTGGGGGCTGAGATCCGGAATGGCATGGCCATCATTAGGTAGGACCTTCCAGCATTTGACTTTTTACATTTTTTAAAAGTCCTTCCTTTAAATGTGAAATGTATTAGCATGGGTCATATAGTCAAGAGGTTCAAGAGTCAAAGGGTATAAAGGGGACTACAATAAAAAGTCTCTCTCCCATCTTTGTCACCCAGACACCTGCTTCCTCTTGTGGGAGGTAGTCATCGAACCAGTGACTCACATGTCCTCCCAAAAATAGTCTTATTCAAGGAATAAATGTCAGATTTCATTAATTCTAAAGTGTACATTTTTTCATATTCATAACATCTCAAAATCCAGATGTATCCTACAAACAATGACATGTCAATTTCATTGGCAGCATTTTCTGCCTTGTTGTTGGCATGTAAAATCATGGTATATCTTATCATTGGCATCCCAGAATTGATGAAATGCCGAAAATATGACCTTTTTCCTCCCTTCCCTCTTTTTAACCATAAATGATTATAGCACTTGCTACCCTCCCTTCCATACCATACACTTTCACTTACTTATCTTAGAAAGCTTTCTCTAACAGTATGTAGCTTAGGCCCTGGTAGAAAGCCATTGTGTAAATGCACTTTTAAGTTAACTAGTCCCTACTGATGGGCATTTTGGCTCTCCCCAGTCATTTGCTGTTTCGAAAAAAGTCACAGCAAATATGATAGTATATTTATAAACATGTTATTTCACCCTTTTTGTTATATAGGTTGTGGGCTAAGTCCCCACAGCAGAATGACTGGGTATGAGAATGTATGCACTGACATTCTTAATGAACATTTTCAAACATCCTGTAGAGAGAGATCAGCAGATTGGGGCAGAGGTGAAGGTTCAAGACCCCCAGTTACTCAGTTCCTGGAAGATTTTTAAGCATCAGTATTAGAAGAATTGGTAGTCCAGGATTAGGGACCAGGGGAGAGTCTGTCTCTGCAGAGGTTGACCCCCAATCTTTGGCCTTCCTTGTCCTGCCTAGGCCTCCTGGACATCATGCCCAGCACAGTTTGATGGACGGTTATTGCATGTTCAACCACGTGGCTGTGGCTGCCCGCTATGCTCAACAGAAGCACAGCATCCAGAGGTCAGCAGCAGAGGGCAGGTGTGATGGGGGTGGTACTGGGTGAATATCCTGGTCTGGACCCTTCCTCCAGATACACCTTACTCTTCTTGCACAGAGTTCCCTCTCTCTCCCACTTACAGGGTTCTTATCGTGGATTGGGATGTACACCACGGTCAAGGAACACAGTTCACCTTTGACCAGGACCCCAGGTACAGCTCAAGTCCCACATTAGGTGTTAGACTCCCAGCCACCTCCCACTCTTATGGGCCCAGCCAGAAGGAGTTCAAAGGAAGAGAAGGCATTCACATTCATTGGGCCTGTCCTGGGACTAGGATCTGTGCTGCTCTCTGTGTGTCTACTGTCTCTCCTAATGTTACTCTGAGGCAGGGACTGTTGGGTTCACCATTTTGCAGATGAGGAGAACTGAGGCTTACAGGTTAAGAGGTCACAGAGAAGAATTAGGAGAGATAGGATTTGACCCACAAACATTTGAAAATCGTGTTCACAGCCGGGCTCGCTGGCTCAGTCTGTAATCCCGTGCCTTGGGAGGCTGAGGTGAGTGGATTGCCTGAGCCTGCGGGTTTGAGACCCGCCTGGGCAACCTGGCCAGACCTCATCTCTACAATAAATTAAAAAATTAGCCGGGCATGGTAGCGCGCACCTGTAGTTCCAGCTACTTGGAAGACTGAGGTGGAAGGATTGCCGGAGCCCAGCAGGCCGAGGCTGCGGTGGCCGGGAGCGGCCGCTGCACTCCAGTCTGGGTGACAGAGTGAGACTCCAACTCAAAAAAAAAAAAGAAAATCGCGTTCACTGATTTACTCTTGAATTGGAGTGAACCTCAAATCACTACCTTATTTTTTCTAATTGTGGCAATACTGCAAAGTATTTATTTAAAAAATTAAATAAATTTACGTTTAATCTGAGTCTCCTATAATTCCCATCACCTCAAAAATAACTGTTGACAGGTTATGTCCTTACAGATTTTTTTCTATAAATGTATAAATATTTATTATTGTCATTATTATTATCAATAGCACACTGCTAATGGAATACTTCTCTACATGTTTTTCAGCAACTTGCTTTTTTCATTGCATATTATGGACTCCATGTTGGCGTCTCCAAAACATCTTGTGCTGGGCATGGTTGCTCATGCCTGTAATCCCAGTACTCTGGGAGACTGAGGATTGCCTGAACTCAGGGGTTCTAGACCAGCCTGGGCAACATGGCAAGACCTCGTCTCTACAATAAATCAAAAAAATTAGCCAGGTGTGGTGGTGATGCGCCTGTAGTTCTAGCTACTTGGAAGGCTGAGGCAGAAGGATCACGAGCCCAGCAAGTCAAGGTTGTGGTGGCTGTGAGCATGCTACTGCACTCCAGACTGGGCACAGAGTGAGACTCCAACTGAAAAAAAAAGCATCTTGTTCTTTGTAGTATGCCATTTTATGGCTGTACCTCTGGTCATTTAACCCTGGAACATATAAGATGCTTCCCAGTTTTTACTATTACAGGCAATTCTACCATGATTAGTCTTGTAAATATATACTTTTGTACTTCTCTGAGTATATCTGTAGAATGAATTTCTAATTGTGAATTGCTGGGTCAGAGGGTCAGTATGCTTTAAAGTCTGGTATTGGCCAAGCTCGGTGGCTTGTGCTTATAATCCCAGCACTTTGGGAGGCCAAGGCAAAAGGATTGCCTGAGCCCAGGAGCTCGAGACCAGCCTGGGCAATAAAATAAAAAAATTAGCTGGGCAGAGTGGTACATGCCTATAGTCCCATCTACTCAGGAGGCTAAGGCGGAAGGTATCCCCTGAGCCTAGCAGGTCGAGGCTGTGGTAGCTGTGATCTTGCCAGTGCACTCCAGCCTGAGCGACAGAGCGAGACTCTGACTCAAAAAAAAAGAAGTTAAAAAATAATCTGGTATACTGCCAGACCTCCCTACGGGGAATACCAGCTTACCCTTCCTGCAGAAAGTGATGGAGCAAGTCCTTGTCAGTAGGGCACATTAGTAAGTACAGGTTGAGTGTCCCTTTTCTGAGATGCCTGAGACCAGAAGTGTTTCAGATTTCATATTTTTTCAAATTTTGAAATATTTCCATTATACTTAGTGGTTGAGCATTTCTTTTTTTTTTTTTTTTTTTTCTTTTGAGTTGGTGTCTCACTCTGTCACCCTGACTGGAGTGCAGTGGCACACTCATGGGCTCAGGTGATCTTTCCGCCTGCCTTCCAAGTAGCTGGAACTACAGGCGTACACCACCACACCCAACTAATCTTTTGAATTATTTATCTTTTTATCTTTTGAGGTCTTGCCATGTTGCTCAGGCTGTCCTGTGGGCTCAGGCAATTTTCTTGCCTCTACTTCCCAAAGTGCTGGGATTACAGGGGTGAGCCACCGCACCCAGTTGTGGTTGAGTATTTCTAGTCTGAAGATTCAAAATCTAAAATGCTCCAATGAGCATTTGCTTTGCACATCCTGTTGGTAAAAAGTTTCATTATTTAGAGCATTTCAGGATTTGGATTTCTGGAATAGGGATGCTTAACCTGCATTGCTTTATCCAGCCTTCTATCCAACTGACTACATAGAATCCACTTTTTTCTGCTTAGATTCTGAGTTCCTATGGCCCCTCACCCAGTCTAGGTTGGTTGTTCCCTAGACGTTGTTTTATGTTGTAGTGTTCAATGTTGCTGACAAGTATCTGCTTTTCACTCCTTTCCAAGTAATCTGTTTTCCTCTCTGCAAGGTTTTGGGTTCTTCTCTTTATCCTTGGTGTTCTAAACTTTCACCTTGGCCCTCTCATTCTGCTTAGCAGTGGGTAGACATTCTACATCTGAAGACTTGTGCCTTTCTTTTTTTTTTTGAGTTGGAGTCTCACTCTGTTGCCCAGACTGGAGTGCAGTGGCTGCTCCCGGCCACCACAGCCTTGACCTGCTGGACTCTGGCGATCCTTCCGCCTCAGCCTTCCAAGTAGCTGGAACTATAGGCGCGCGCTACCACACCCAGCTAATTTTTTGACTTATTATAGAGATGAGGTCTCACCAAGTTGCCCAGGCGGGTCTCGAACCCGCGAGCTCAGGCAATCCACTCACCTCAGCCTCCCAAGGCGTGGGATTACAGTCTGAGCCACCGAGCCTGGCTTGTGCCTTTCTTAAAACCTTGGTAGTTCGCTTCTATTATATCTCTTATAATTTCTTCTTTGTTTTCTCTGTTCTCTCTTTCTAGGACTCTTGTTAGTCAGATGTTAGGCCTCCTGATTTTATCCTTTATGTCTTTTATTTTTTATCTCATGTTTTTCATCTCTTTACCCCTTTGCTCTGTGTCCTAGGAAATTTCCTCAACTTTATCTTCAAGCCCTTCTGTTGAATTGTGTATTTAGGCATTCTTCTAATCTCCAAAAGCACTTTCTTCCCTTCTGTTTCTTTGCATTCTCGTTCCTGATCTTGTTTTTATTTTTATTTTTTTATTTATTATTATTTTTTGTTTTGTTTTGTTTTGTTTTTTTGAGTTGGAGTCCCACTCTGTCGCCCAGACTGGAGTGCAGTGGCCGCTCCAGGCCACCGCAACCTCGACCTGCTGGGCTCCGGCAATCCTTCTACTTCAGCCTTCCAAGTAGCTGGAACTACAAGCGCACGCTACCACGCCCGGCTAATTTTTTTGATTTATTGTAGAGATGAGGTCTCGCCAAGTTGCCCAGGCGGGTCTCGAACCCGCGGGCTCAGGCAATCCACTCACCTCAGCCTCCCAAGGCGCGGGATTACAGGCTGAGCCACCAAGCCCGGCCCTGATCTTGTTTTTATAGAGTACTAATTGGAAGTGAATTAAGTTTCTTCTGTTCTCTGAATTATGTTGCTCTATTGTGGGACTGGTTGAATTGTTTTTTCTTGGACCTTCTCTTTCATGCTGGTAGTTTTCCTCAGATATTTAGTGCTCCTTATTTGGCTATTTATACCCAAGAATGAAGGACTGCTGTAGAGGGTGTCATGGGACTACTCTGCTGTGGTATGTGTGGGCCTGTTTTCCTGAAAAGCATTTCCCCGTATGGGTACAGGGAATGTCCACTGGCAGGTCTCAATTTTAGGAAGTGTGAGCAAGGACCCAGACATTAGATGGGACACTGCTAAATGCCAGAAAAAAAGAGGTCTTTTCGAGCCGGGCTCGGTGGCTCAGCCTGTAATCCTGCGCCTTTGGGAGGCTGAGGTGAGTGGATTGCCTAAGCCCGCAGGTTCGAGACCCACCTGGGCAACTTGGTGAGACCTCATCTCTACAATAAATCAAAATGAGCCAGGCGAGGTAGTGCGTGCCTGTAGTTCCAGCTACTTAGAAGGCTGAGGTGGAAGGATCGCCAGAGCCCAGCAGGTCAAGGCTGTGGTGGCTGGGAGCGGCCACTGCACTCCAGAATGAGACTCCAACTTAAAAAAAAGAGGTCTTTTCTTTGGGGTGATGTCTCTTTTTTCCCTCAGCCTTGTCAAAGATGTGTCTGTTTTACTTATCTTTTCCTCTCTAACTTTCAGCTTTTTTGGTCATCTCTACTGTTTTATTGTAGGTTTTTGTACTCCAATAATGTTTCTGTTTTTATCCTTCTTATTTCCTCCTATATTCTTTATTTTGTTCATTTCTGGCTTCTTGGGTTGAATGCTTCAACATTTATCAACTCACTGGCCAATCTTGTTTCATCTCTACCTGTACTCATAACCCTCTCCTGTTTTGTTTTGAAGTTAATCTATACACCATATAATTTCTTCTGTAAATATTTTAGGATGCATCTCTCAAATATAAGGACACTTTTTAAAAAAGTATTACCTCAGTATCATACCTGAGAAAAATTAACAAAAATTCTTTTTAGGCCGGGCTCGGTGGCTCAGCCTGCAATCCCAGCGCTTTGGGAGGCTGAGGTGAGTAGATTGCCTGAGCCCACGGGTTCAAGACCCACCCAGGCAACTTGGTGAGACCTCATCTCTACAATAAATCAAAAATTAGCCAG